GCCCTCTGCCGCTGCCGGCGAGGCGGCCGAGCACACGGCGCCTGCTTCATTTCTTAGCGTGCAGCTGGGTTGCAGCTGGGATTTGCAACCTCCAAAAACTCCCCGACCAGGTCTCGGGGTTTGCTGGGGCGTCGCGGCTGTGGCCGAAGGATGGCTTTCCGCTTGCATGTCTTCTTTCGGGCGTCTCACTCGGGGTCGCCTTCTGCGTGAAGCCCCTCCGGCTCCGCCGCGGGAGCGTGGCTTGAGCCGGGCCGTCCTGCGCCGCTTCGCTGCCTCCTGGGCATGGAAATGTGGTTCCAATACAAAGGCTGAGATTTCCCTAATGCTTTCCATTTCTGCAGCCCTCTCTGCTGTAATAGGAGCTGGAGCTGTCCGGAAGAATGTCTACAATGCAGAAAGGGCAAAAAAAAGGATGGAAAATTCCCTGCTCAAAGCTACAGCGAAATCTCATCTGGCTCCTTCCTCATCACCCCCGGTGTTATTTACTGTTATTAATAATAAATAGCGCGCAGCGTCTGTCCGGGAGGTGTTTTGAGCTTGGGGTTTTTTGCAGCTTGCTTATCTGTTGCCGCAGCTTTGCTGTTTGCAGCGGCATCGCTCCCCGGGAGATGAGGGTGTTTCACAGCGCTCGAAAAATCAGGAGGTTTGGAAACACGAGGAGATGTTTAAAACTGTTCTCGTGGTTGTGACAGCGCAAAATACGAGTGTTACGTTATCCCGGCTCGCCAGCAGTGGGTTACGGGGCGTTTCGTGGCGCTGTGCTGTACACATCTCTATACGTCCGCGCCTGTGTTGGTGTAATGCAGCCGAAGCACCGCGGCTCCAGCTCTGGCGCGGCTCCACCCGTCCCTCGCATCGGTTGGGATCCCATCTGCCGACACGGTCTCGCTCCTGATTTGGTATCTGTGAGGGGGAAGTGGGTCTCACATCATTGTTTCCACTCGACGGAGGCACTGGCAAAGGGAGCGTTCCTTATTTAAACAGGTCCAGAAACTTGCTGGGAAGAAATCACTTTCCCGATGTATCAAGACAAATCATTTTTCGGCGGTATTCAAAACCTCCACCTCCTTCCCTTCATAAGTAGGGCTACCACATGTTCTCGTTCTCACTTAAACAAGGCGTAGCCTCAAACTTGAGGCCCAAGAGCAGGGGAGGAGGGAAAAAAAAAAAGGAAATAAAAAGGAAAAAAGGAGACTTGTTTCCCCGCCGTCAGCGGGAGCAGGGCGGGAGCGCTCGGTCCAGCCCGCGGCTCCGCTCGGCACCGTCCGGATGAACCCATTCCGGTATTGTCGGGACTGACCGACCATCTGCAGATGTTGATGCAATGCATCTATATTTTAGATACTCTCTATTTATTCGAAGTAACTTATGTTATTTATTTAGATACCATAGTGTGCCATCTACGTAATGCATTCTTTCTCTCTCTCTTTTTTTAAATATTATTTATTGATGCAAGTGGTGCCAAGTGCAGTTTACATTTATTACATTTTTACCATTTATTCTGAACATTGGGGAAAAAAATGCAGTATGATATTTTTTTTAAACGAACTTAAACTCGGGTGTGATGCTGTTACATACTCACGACGAAGTGAAAATAAAAGGAGGATTATATTGATTTCTCGCGGGTTATTTTCTTTCGCTGCTGCCTATGGCTGAGTGATGGTAGAGTGATGTCCTGTCCCCGGCACGGGGATGCCGGGGAAATGGGAAAGCTGGCTTTGCTTCTGGGAGCGCAGAGCGGGCCGAAGGATGGCAGGAGCTTGACTTTATCTTCTGGTTTCTTGCGGAGACTCCGTGCTCACCTGCAGACAGCCCCGGTTCCTTCATTTTCATCTGCTGCAACGCTGCGGTGATGCAAACCAGCGATTTGTGGTGTTCCCAAGGCGGGGTCGCTGCCTGCGTGCGTCAGGGCTGGGTTTGCCACAGAAATAATCATCTTTGCCCCCCAGTTGTAAAGGCGCTTCCAGTTGGGTTGGCTCAAAGACGTGCCAGTTCTGGTGAAATCAAATTTGAAAAAAAAAATAAAATAAGAAGAACACACAAGGTTTTGATAAGGTCAGCCGGAAAAAAGTTTCAGTTGCTCATCTGGAAGCAGTGCTGAAGTTAGAAACGTGTTTTATTTTATAGGGAAGACACCGCGAAGTCAGCAGCAGGCATCGGCGGGGTTTTGTTGCTCTTATTAGGAGGATTATGGTGATTGATAATTTGGTTTGGGTGAAATGTTGCAATTTGAAAGCCCGGCCAAGTTCAGGAAGCAAACACGTTTCAAAGCTGTGTGAAATGGAAGCATTGGTACCAAGGCTGCCGCCCCACTCACGCCAGTCCCGCCCCAGCTCCTTCTCCCTGCTACTGGTTTCCAGTAGCTCCTCAGGGGACAAAAGCCAGAGGAGGGCTCCTGGCAGCGGGGACTGAGCTGTTTAAGCCCGGTTTTAGCACACATTAACCCCATTTAACAGACACTGACCCTTTTAAATGCGCATTGCCTCCATTTAACATGGGTGTCCCCCCAGTTAATTCACCTTATCTCCGGTTACACACATTACCCCTCCCATTTAACACACATTGACTGCACTGAATGCACATTACGCCCAATTAACACATTTTACCCCATGTTAAGAGGGATTTCCCCCATTTAACAGATGTTCTGGCATTTAACGTGCATTTCCCCCATTTAATAGATGTTCTGTCCTGTGGAGCATCAGTGGCCCTGATGCGGGCAAACCCCTGCATCCACATCCTTTAAAAGCATGGCCCCCTACCCCAGTCTTTCCAGAAAAATACTTTATTTTCCCTCCCCACTGGAAAATAGGCTGAAAGTACCTAGTGCCCATGGTGAGACTGGGTACAAGCAAAACATCCCATCTCGAGCGAAGCCAGCGAGCCGCCCCGCTGCTCTGCCGGCCTTGGCACCGGGCAGCAGGGAATAACGGGGAAAAAAAAAAAAAAAAGAAAAGCCAAGATGCTTTTGAACCACAAAGGTTTATAGTGTTTTTTTGGGAATGGAAAAAAAGGTCTGTTTATATTCCCCCCTCATGCCACCCAGAGGCCTGACAGCCGTGGACGGCTCGTGGCCGAGTCAAACATTCACGCTCGAAGCTGCACTTTGTAAATATTTTATGAAGCATCTTTTGAGACTCATAAATCTCCGCGTGTGCACACGCATGCGTGCACATGTGTATGTGTGTGTGCTCCAGAAACTAAGAAAAGCTGCAGTCCTGCTGCCAGCCTGTCCAAATAAAAAGGAGGTGCGTGTTGCCAACTTTCATAGTGTGAGTGGGAGATTTTCACTGGCTGGTGCTTGCTTTAAAGCCCCAGCTTAAAAATCCAAGCTCTCAAATGATGTTCTATATTTGTTTGTTCATTTTCAAATGGGAAAAGTAACAGGCGGGAAACAGGATACTGAGAGCGTTCAACCCCACTGCTCAGTTTGAGCTGCTCAGAATTACCTCCTAGCAAGAAAAAACCGTGGGAACATAAACCCAGCCCCACCAAACTGGGAAACACAAAATAAAAGTAAAGACAAGAGTGTGGAGTTTGCAAGTCTTACAAAAAAAACAAAAAATCACCCAAACCCATGTATGTGGTGACTTCTCTCCCAGTATCTCCAGTAGTACTACCAAGAACGCGAAGCCTGGGAACAACGATATTTGTTGCTTCAGCTGCTGCTGGGGATTTGCTGCAAGGGAAGGAGGGAGCTCGACGGTGCTGGACAGCCGTGGAGAAAACCCTGTCTTAGTTTCATGTTCCCCCTCCAGCATCACTGGACAAACCCAGGAGCAGGTTTGGGAAGCACAGGGGGATATCTGCCCGTAGGCTCCGGAAAGCTGGAAATAATTGAATTTACAGGGTTAGTTCAGGCACCTTCACGCACCCAGAAGGACAGATCCAGCGACGAGGAAGCTCCAGCTGCTGTGTTTTCAGGATTTTGGTGTACCTGAGCCTTTTCCCTTCCCTTCCCCAAATGCAAAGCCCTGCTGAGCTGGGCTTGGTGAGGCTTTGTGTTTCTCCCCAGCTCTGCCTCTCCTCTTGGGTCCCCTCCAGCCCTGGTGTCTGCAAAGCAGAAGACAGACACTGCTCTAAAAACCCCATTTTCAATGTCATTATCTCCCTGGTTTCCCACGAGGAGCAGCCGCTTTCTCACCTCTTGGGGAAATCCCCCTGTAAAGCTCTCCCCTGCTCTGCTTTTTGGACCGTCTCTGCCCAAAAGCATCAGCTGGGAACACGTCAGCCTGCCTCCAGCCACCTTTGGGTAAAAAGAAGGGAGATTTGGGAGTAAACAGGGTGTTTTCACATCTTCTCTGAGAGGGACTGAAGCCGCCCCTCATGCTGGGACCTCCCAGCTGGGTGTGGAGAGGGAAACCCACTTCGGCAAGGAGGCTGCAAAGCCCAGCACCGGTGTTTCGGGAAAAGCCGGACTGTAATGTCTCAGCACAGTGTCCCAGCCCCAGGCCCCCACAGCACAGCCATCCAGATGTCTCCCTCGATGAAGTCCCCCCTTCCAGAGTTTCCCCAGTGCGGTGTCAGCTTTCCCATCCCCTAACCAAATCAGCACACGTGGCTGCATGTCGCCCACAGGCATCCCCTCCCCAGGCCACGACAGCACCGAGCCACCGCTCAGAGGAGGGGAAGGTTTAATGCGATATTTTGTCCGGCCACCCTACGTCCCCTCCCCAAGGACCATGGCTTACGCCTGGCTGGGTGCAAGCTCCCAACACCCCATGGTCTGCCCATGAATGCTTCAATGGAACTAAAATTCATATTTTGGTCACCCTCTGGAAGGCTGCAGAGCAATTTGGGGGATGAGGGTGAGGTCAACATTCATAAGTCTGTCCCCTCCATATTTATGCTGCCTTTGCTCCTGCAGCCTTGAAGGCTGGCCGGCCTCGGGGTCTGCAGAACCCCTGCTGCTCTCCCCAAGGCTCACTGGGTCCCCAAAGAGACCTCGGACCCAGGGGAGGGATGAGGCCGACTAGCCTGGCTGGCCTTGACCTGCCAGAATAATCCCAGCTCAAGTGCAAAGGAGAGAGCCAATAACCCTGGTGCTGCCATTCCCCAGTTAAAAATCCAAAAACCTACGGGACTCATCTCTTTTTAATAGGTGTTAAATGACTCCGGGTCTTAGAAGCAAAGGGAATCGCGCTTGGGAGGTTGGCAGGAGAAAACTGGGAATTTCTTGCAGCTGTTTTGCCGTGCGGGTGCTCCCAAAATGCTCCCTGGCCACGGCTGGAGAGGCTGCAGCAGCGGGAGGCATTAACAGGGATGGATAAATTATGTTTGACTTTCCCCATAGTTGAAAAAGGGTTTCCCACAAGGGTAAATAGCCTAAATTTGGGAGAATTGGCCCTCTCTGCATGCAAGATGTCTACAAAATGGCTGTGTCAAGCCCTGTCCTCGTGGTTCCCTGTGTCAAGGAGCCCATGGCTCTTCCCGGTGCTCTCCTGCCATTCAGCATCCCCCTCCATCGATATCCCAGCCCCCTGCGTCACCGCGCACAGCCACCTTCACCCTGGCCACTGCTCCAAGGTGCACATCGCCTGCCCTCGGCCACGGAAATTGTTCTGCTTTGCAGAAATACTCCTCCTTCTGCTTCAGATAAAAGCCCTCCCTAGCCTGGGGCTTCGCTTCCTCGTTTCAGTCAGGGAGGTTTTTCAAGTTTCAAAAGGCATTCCCTTCTACTTAAAAACTACCCTGAGTTTCAACCTGGCTCTTCCCCGCCCCTCAGCAAGTGATTTACATGTTTGAGGTTGAACTCAACTGAAAACTTCCAATTTTAATTTTTTTCTTTTTGTGCTCCCCTGACAAACCTCTGGCATTTGCTTTCTCCCCTTCCCCTCTTCCCTGCAGCCAGCTCCTACCCCAACCTTACACCAGGGGGGCTTTCCCCACCCAGCCTCTGCCGAGCGCAAAGGTGCGAACACATTGGCATTTCCTTGTTCCCAGAGCGTGTCATCATCAAAGTCACCCAGCAAACACCACCAGTGCCAGATCTGACGGGGGTTCAGCTGCTCAGCCAGGCTTCTCAGCCTCGGCTGGTCGGGCAGGCTTCGACCATGCTTTGTGCTTTCCCTCTGTAAGGCTCTGGAGAGGCTGCTTCTTCCCCAGATTTTTTGCAACTTGGGGATGTCCTAGACCAATGGGTGGGGGAACGTTTTTCCGCTGAAAGGTTCTTAGTGAAGTTTTCTTCTGGGAATTTGTCTTGTCGCTCTTCAAACTGGTGCAAACCTGTAATTTCAGCTGCTCACAGTGCAGCATTCTCTCTGCGCCCCAAGCTCCTCTGCAAACCAACCTGAGCGAGGGCCTAAAGCAACCTGCTTCATGCTGCTGGTCTGGGTGGGCTCCTCAAACCTCTGCTTCTCCCTAACGTTTCCTGCAGGACAGAAACATTGCTGGGTCGCTTGACAGACTGAGGCCGCTGGAAGGAAGCTTAACCCGCAGCTGTTCACAGTCTGTGCGGAAGCAAGGGATGTAAAGCAGCAAGGGCTCTGGCTGTGCCCGGCCACAACGCCTTCCTCGCTTGGCTGTGGCAGCAGGGTTGCTCCTGGGTGAGAAAAGGTCCAGTGCCTTCCTCAGAAACAAGAGGGTTTCTTTCTTACCTTTGAAGACGAAATAATGTTGGAGTTAAGAGCATGAGGTACATGAATTGCACTGTACATGTATATACATTATAATGGTCTAGTACTCAAAAAGGCATGCAAAACAGCCAAACTAATTAAACCTTTTTAATGACATTGCTGATTTGCCAATCAGTCTGCTTTGATAACCTGCTGTTGATAATCGTTGCTTGTGGCTGGTGCATTTATTAAGGAGAATTTCAGAGCGCCCAGGGTGCGTTTCCTTCCACAGGACCAGGGCCAGTCCTGAGCCCAACTTCAGGGACAACAAACACCCTCCCCCCATGCCAGGTCAGGGCCCGCACAAGGACAGGATGAGGGGGATGGACTGAAGCTCCTGTTCACGAGCATTTGCTTCCCTGGAGTGAACCTACAGGTCGCTCAGAGGAATGAGATGCCAGCTGGAACTGAATTGCCTGTTTATTAAGATGTCTATTTAATGCACAGGGTGTTCTCAATAAATATCATCACCAAGCCTCCAGTGGGACCAAAACTGGGCTCCTGCCCATGCGCAGCCACTTGTTCTGCACCCAGCAAATGCCACCTTGTATAATTGGAAATGCTGTTGGCCAAGGGAACTGCCTATCTACCGTCGCCCACTGCTGCAAGGGGCATCTAAACCCCCTGCAGACAGCAGCCCTGCCCCAAAACACCCCAGGAACATCCCTTCCCTGCATTACATCCCTTCAAAACAGGCTGGAGAAAAATATTTCAGGTGAACTGAATGTGTTGTTCATTGGGCTTTACACTGTCGTTTCTTCCTGGGAAGGCTTTTAATGACATTCGCCATAGTCAAGCTCCTCTTGACTGCGTTCCTGCGTGCAGCATGGGTTGGCTCTAGCAGGTACGGGAAATTTGCATTTGCTTTTTCAAATGGAACACCACACTTTGCAAGCAGCTGGACTTTGTGCCCCTACATGCGGTTATCTGTCATTGCTCAGTTTAATCAAACACTCTGTTCTGTAACCGGCTTTGCTGGCAATGCCAGCAAAAGGCAGCTCCGGAGGCCACTGCTCAAAGCTGAAGTGTTCCCAGCGGAAGTCTCGAGATGGAAGGATTTAGCCCAGGGACAGGCATCATCTTCCAAATCTAGCAGGAGCAGTGAAACGGGCGACCGTCCATCCCAACTCCCCAGTGCTGCCCATTGACGGGAAAAGACTGTTCCTAGAGCTCACCTGCAGACTGTTATTTATCCCTAATCCACACCCATATCAGCTCAATCAGTAATCTTAAATTAAATTTCTCTAGCTGCTCTGAATTGAACTGGCTCTAAAGATGGGAAAAGCCCCAGGGTCAGTTCACGAGATCCCAGGAGCCTCACGCCAAAGGAGGAGAGATGTGTGTGTCTGCAGGCAGACAAGGCAGAGGCAGAAGCACGGACAAATATTTGGCAATAAATATTGATACCTCATGTATTGCTCCTCTTTGAAGCAGCCAGCAAGCACATGGCTAAGGAAGACGCGGTGCATTTTTCTACCTGAATTTCCAAAGGGATTCGCTAAGGTCCAGCAAGGGCTCTTCAAGAAACTAAGCAGCCGCAGGAAGGTCCCATCTAGACAAGTACCATGAGGAGGACGGCAAAAAGATGGAAGGGATAAAGGTTCAGATTTCAGAGTGAAGGATTTCCTCTTAGGCCTGTGCTGATCAATGTATTCAACCAATCTGCAAAGCAGAGAAAAAACAAAGGTGGCAAAGGTTGCCAATGAAAATAAGGGACTCTCAGTGCTAAAAACCAAGGTCTTCCTGATGGTCCTTCTGCTACAGAATGATTGCAGGAGGAAATGCAGAGGGAATTCTATGGAAATGTTTGCTAAATGCTGCTGATGGAGAAAACAATTGCATCTCTGTATGCACTGCTGGACTCTGAGTTGATTTTCCTCATGGAAACATCCTGCGGTCAGGACAGACCTTTAAAAAGCTCGGCTCGGGGATCAGTAGCAGTCGGGAAAACAAACTGAATGTCCTGAGGTATCGGCAGGGAGCCTGGGAGGGCACAGCTCTGTCCGCCGACTCCATGCAATGGGGCTCCCCTACCTGAAAATGAAACAATTTCCAGCGATGCAACCTGAACAGCAGCAGGAAGCTCAATAAAGGCCTTAATAAATTCACCATTTTTTAAACATGGGCCTAGAGGCATCAGCCAATGCCAGAAGTTGTGATGTTCAAGGCACAGAGGAGGAGGTAGCTCATCACGTGCTGGTTCTGAGCATCTGCTTGCCACAAGGTGCTGCAGGCACTAGAACTTACAGTTCCTTCAGCGGCACCCTTGGCACCCCACACCCTACCTGCACCAATCTGCTGCTGTTAGACCTTTCCTCAAACTCACATTGTCTCGCTCACCTGTCCAAAGAACAGCCTTGTAAAATAAAATGAGCAGTTTTCTGCCCATTTAGCATCCCGACGCAGCACCCCAAAGGCAGTCAGTGAGCGCCCCGGGCAGAGCAATGGCAGGACTGGGGCTGCGGGGCTGAGAGGGAGGAGTGTGCCAGTTTCTCCTGCAGCTGCAGGCAGCTGGTGTGGCCGCTCCTTCACGCCACAGCTTTGCATAGTACAAAGTCCTTGAAACAGGTTTGTGACAGGTATGGATATTTGTTTCACTTGCCCCTGTTGGCCACTTGCTTTGGCTCTCTGTGGTGCTGATCCAGGACTGTTTGCAGAGACCAAAGGTGAACTTCTCCAAAGACCAAGCTGCAGCCAGTGTAAGAAGTTGTTCAGATAACTAAAAAAACAAAGTAATACTATATCTGATGGTCTATTCTCAAGTAAGACAAAGACATAAAACCACCTAATTGCTTCCTTGTCTTTGTTCACTTCACAGCTCCTCTTGTCCCTCCATTTCTGCCAAATTCAATCATCCCGTGAAATTGCAACCTGCCAGCAACGACAAAAAGATTGCAGCGCAGCAGAGAGCTGAGCAAACAACAGTTACACAAACCACTTAGACAGACTGGGCACAACCTGATACCTGGCCTCTGTCGTCTGCAAGAAGTGACAAGCTTTGCAGACACGCAGGGCCCAGCCGTCCCCCACCACAGGTTTCAGCCACTTGCGCCACTGGAAGTAGCGCTGGTATCTCTCGGTGTCCCTGCTCAGCTCCTGCAGGTAATGCGCCAGGTCCCCAGCGCTGGCGAAGTCATCGACGTGGATGAAGGAGTCAGGGGGCAAGAAGCGCTCGTAGTTTTCTCGAGGAGGTCCCAGCACAACAGGGACGGTGCCACAGGACAAGGCATTCCTCCAGAGCTTCTCAGTGATGTAGTCTTCATGCTGCGAGTTCTCAAAAGCTAGGTAGAAGTTGTACTGGGACACAGTGGGGAGGAGCTTGTCCCGGGGCAGGGGCCAGTGATACTGCCCATAGACATCCACAGTGATGTGTTTCTTCAGCTCCTCGTAGTACTTCACCCGGTGGGAGTCTGCTTTCCAGTTGCTGACTATCCAGGCCACCAGCTTGGTCTTGGGTGGGATGCTGAGGGGCTGGGGCTGGCTGAGGAGCCGCAGCTCCCCATAAGGGGTGAAGATGTCCGAGTCCCTCCGATAAGACATGGTCAGGTTGAAGAGGTTGTCCATGGCGCCTAAGTTTGGAGAGTGACTTGGGGACTCCAGATTGAACCAGATCCAGCGCTGGGATGGGAGTCTGGGGAGCTGGGCCAGCCACTGAGTCTCTCTGTACACATCCCTGTGATGCATAATCACAGCATCAGCCTTTTGGGACCATCTACGGTTTACAGTGAAGTGGCAGTCCGAGGTGCCATAGCGCTCCGAGCAGTTTACGAAGTTAAAGCGCTGCCCAAAGGGCCACTTCCACAGCAGGACGGTCAGCCTGCGTTCACCCTGCAGTGGGGTGCTGGTATTTCCAGCACTGGCTGTTTCCACAGAGAGATCGTAACTATAATAGTCTGGCTCAGAAGTCCTGAACTGATGAAAAGAAACAAAGAAACAGGTGCTGAAGATGAGGCTGAAGAGGAAGAAGAGGAGGACTTTCTTGCAGGAGATCTTCTTCCCTTCCGCGAGCTCCATGAATGGATCTGCAAACACCACAGACAGGACAATGAGTGATGGGTACACACGGAGCCCAGCGGGGAGGTGGCTCTGGGTATGCAGCCTGGCACAGGGGCTCAGGGGACAGCGTGGAGACCTGAAGGACATTCAGCTCCGTCTGCCTCTTTGCGGGAAGAAGGGTCGCCTACAGAGCACCATGCCCAAGGCCCTTCCACACACGCTCGCCCACAGGGTGCAGCCGCCCACCACAGAGCCCAGGCTTCCCTCCCTCACCGCCCGCTGCCTCTCCTCGTCAGCCCCTTTTTCCCCCGCCTCATTTCCCAGCACAGCCCCGAGCTGCCCGTCGCGGGTGCCTCGGGACATGTGGTGGCCTGCTCCATCACGGCAGGCCGGTGACCTTGGGGCCTGCTGCACATCGGAACAGGACCGCCATGTCCTCCCCATGGGAGACCGTCACGCCCCACGCTGTCATGTCCCGACAGGTTCTCAGGACGCCCCGTGATTGGCTGGAGGCTTCCTTTGGACCAGGAAGCAGCGCTGTGATTGGCTGCCTTTCTCCTTTGGACCAGGAAATGTTCATACATAAAACCCTATAGATTTATAGACAATATATAGAAGTAGATATAAAGGAGTGTACAAATATGTACAAATGCATTTACTTATTTAGCTACAGATGGACAGTTTTATATATATGGATAGTTGTGTCTATGTTTATATATATATACACACATTTATAAAGTTATAGAGATTAAAAACATATAGCTATAAAAACAGAGATATAAAATGGCCAGGCTGGGATCACCCACTTTGCCATGTCTGGGGTGGGCAGCAGCTTCACGCGGGCAGAGGAGTACCAAAGGGGTGGGGGGCACGGAGAAGTTGGGATGTGCCCGAGAGCTGCTACAGACCCTCCAAGGAAGCCACCAAGGGGCCCCCGGCAGAGATCCCGTCACCTCAAACGCGAGCCCCCGCGCCCGAGCCCGGCCCAGCACTGGGGCAGACTTTGGGCTGTGCACGGGGCTGCAAGACACGGGCAACGCTGCCGGAAAACATGGGAAACCAAAGCAAAATGCCGACTTCAGAGGAATGTGTGTGGGCACAATAAGGAACAGACCCGAATGGGGTCACCCAAAAGATGACATGGACCAGAACGGGCCAGTGGGCCCCTGAACCACAGACTGGGGTTTGAGGTGAGCGTCATGCAGAGGTGGGGCAGGGGGAAAGCTCCCTTTCCCTGTGGTTGTGGGGCATCTGATCTACCCGTAACCTGTTCTGGTGTGCAGGCTGGTGCTATGTGTGCTTCCTTGTCTTTCGGCTGATGATTGAATGTTTCAAAACAGCTCATCTGTACTAATTAACGGCGTTGTCTGTGTGTTTTGCTTCAGCATTCTTGAACAGTAGCCACAGCCTTCTCAGCACACCTAGCACCTGCATGGACACCACCTCCCCGACCCCAGCTTCGGACAATCCCCATCACAGCACCAGCACCACAGCGCTTTTATCACCAGCGTGCTTCTTGCTGCTCCTCTGTATCAGGTAACAGTCATGGTCTTTCAGGTCTGCAACACCCCGTTGCTTTTACTGATCTGCTTGTTGGGGCCTCTAAGAGCACGGGGCGGCTGTCTGTGTCCCAAAGCTGCTCTTGCAGTAGTGAGGACTGCCTAAGAGGACAGTCTTGATGCATGCTTGGTCTCTGCATCTTATTTGCAACATTGACCAAAGGACAAGGAAACCCGTACAGCACCAGCCTGCCTTCTGCTGTGGCCTTACAGGTAGCCGTAAGCCCCCCACAACAACAGGATTTCCAGCAGAAGCTGGTGGGACCGACACCTGTCACCTCTGATCTTCTATACCAGCCGTACCTATGAAAGGCACGTTATGAAAATATAGAGGGAAGCAATGCCTCCCTGCGATGAGAGGTGAAAACAGATGACTGCAGACCCCCTCCCTCCTGTACCTGGTGCCTGTCTCTCCCAGCCCGAGTCAGGTTCCTTCTTTAACTACCGAAAAAAGAAAAGACGGTTGCAACTCACCTCCAGTCTTGGTCCTAATGCAGAAGTGCTTTGTGAAGATAAGCTCTGAAGCAGATGACACAACCAGGAAAAGAGGAGAAAGGCAAGCACAGACACAGGGAGGGATCGGTGACGTATTCCAGGTGTACCTTGAGCTGTGTGTGCCAGTCACCACCACCTGAAACATGTCATGCAATAATAAAAGCTGTAACAAACCAGGACAGAGTGCTATTTCACAGATTACGGAACAGTCAGACAAAGCAACCCAGATACTTCTTGTGGTTAAAGCATACCTTACCATCGAAAGCACTTCTGCACATGCACTATCTTGCTTCCTTTGCCAGTCTCAACGCACAGGATTTGCTTGTGACATGCTTTCTTCTCTGCCTTGCATCGCAGGAGGACAGTCGTGTTTGGGAAGCTGGCATGGAGTGGAGGTGCAGGCGTGGGATTTGCAAGTCCCTCTGCCAGCAAACAGACTTCATGGCACACCTGCCTCCATGCCCACGCCAGGCCACACCTCCCAGTCACCTTTCCAGGATCTCAAGGTAAAGCACATCCTGTGACTGGTACCTTCAGCCATCACCATGAGATTCAGAGTAGACGAGTGCTTGAGCAAGACTGTCTGGGAGATGCCTCCCGCGTCCAGCACCGCCGACCATGTTTTGGAGCGTCTCCAGCCCAGGTGAACAGGCGTTGTACATCACGGTCTGTGGACGTGAAAAGGTGGTTTGTTTGCTGCAGCCAGAGTGAATTGATCTTGCATTGAGCTTGGCTGCACTTGGCTAGGATATAAAAGAGCCATTATATGTTATTATCAGGCTTAAATATATTCAGCTGTAAACATGAATTGTTAGTCTGGAATTAAATTCACAGAAGGAGTTTTAATGCAGGTTTGGGGTGTTTTGGGTGGGCAAGGAGATTGTAAATGGACAATATGGGGTGGAAGATTTTGCATTTCCAGGCCTTTTACCAGCAGGTGTGTGTTTCCTGGGACAGAGCTGGAGGTCACCTGGAGTGTATCCATTTACCTCCTGCAGACTTGGGAGCACTCCAGCACAGGTGAGAGTGAAAAAAATATACCATGGCTTTAGGGATGGGGGCCATAACTCATGGTTTTCTCACCCTAGGGTGACCCAGGCAGCCTGAAGTCTCACATCTCCTCACCTGGGCCTGAGAAGGTACCAGCCATTCAGCTGCTCTGCCTAGAAATTCCACCCTTGGGAAACAGTGACTTCTTACCCTCTCTCCACGGCACAGCCTTCACCTGTACTAGTAACTTACACAATAGGAGGGCACAGGTTCTGGATTTAATTCACCTAGAGGCTGAAATTTGGAATGGCCCACAGCCCAGCTTTGGCATGATCCAGCTAGAGCTATGCCAAATGTAATCCAGGTGCAATTTGGGAGTTACCAGGGCGTGGTGGTGCAGCCGCCCGGGGCCACTACAAGACACCAGGATAAGCTCTGTTGTGCTGTTCTCTTGGTTACAAATGCAGTGATTTGTGCATCAGACACCCCCTGGCCAAACCTAAGCCATCTGCTGCCCAAATCATCTACCAGAATCATACAGCACGAGTTGTGGCCAGAAATGAAAATATTGGCCAGTCAATCATCTCAAGTTGCTGTAAATAGCGATCCAAAGGTGAGACCCGTTGAGCTCTCCAGGACCGCAGCGGGCTGTGTGACCCAGGATCTCCCCCTGAGCTGGGACGCCTCTCAGGGTAGATTTCTCAAGAATTGAAAGACTGTCCATCGACGATTTGCAAGGATTCAAAGGTCTGAATTTGCAAGGTTCACTGCCTGTCCGTTTATGAATGCTGGCATATAAAAGTGAGTAATCCATGAAACTCCTGAAAAGGTAAATTTTTATCACAGCTTAACCTCTGTATGGGTGGTGGGTGTGTACAGTTTGATTCAGAACTATTTGCCTGTCTGCGTGCAATTTCATTCAGAATTATTTGTGTGCCCGTACGTGTGATATGATTTAACCTTCATCTGTGTGTGCAACCCTGCTGTAAATTTCAGGTGACCCTTGCCATTTTCAAATCTTTAACTAAGTCACTATCTGATTGTAACAAATTCCATTGAGTCACTTTGTTAAATTGGCTGATGATGAAGTGCTGTTGATAATTATACAGTGTAATCTTGTGATCTGTCTCTAAAATATTAATAAAACCTAAGTTGCTGCTAAACAAGAGCTGTGTAACAAAATCCTATTCACAACACAGAGCAAGCAACCGTTCCCTACAGGCGGTCTGCATGTGGCCACTCCTTGGTAGCAAAAGGATTTCGATAACATGAACACGGCCCAGCCACACTGGTTAGCCTCAGGAGAGCAGATTTGTCCTACAAGCGTAGATGCAGTCGTGAAGTTCAGACACTAGCCAGCTTTCTGGCTGAGAGTCCATGAGCTCTGCAGCCAGCAGCACAAACAAAGACCCTGCATACCCAGATGTCCCCAGATGCAATTTTACTCAAGGCTGTGGAGGAGAAAGAAGATTTGAGTTTCCCAGCACCATGGAAAGCCCTGAGTTGAAGGATCCTCTAACACCAGAGAAGAGGCTTCAGGCAAGTGGAAAATTCAAGACTTTTATACTCCTGAAAGCCAGGACCATAAGGAACTTAAGCTCAGCAGGAGTAATTAATGTAAATTAAACAAATAAGCAAGTGTAGCGAAGACATGGAAAACATTCAAAAATATGTGAATTGAGAATGGTTCCAAGTGGCCCACATGATGTGAGGTGACAGATCACTTAGTCCAGAAGATGATGTGAGATTGTAGCATGGACAGAACAAAACGGCCATTTGGGTAATGGACTTGGCAGGACCGAACACAGTTGACATGAACTTATTGTTAAATGATGAATAGTCTCAGTAATCCCTACATCTGAAAATAAATAATGCTGTGTTTTGGAGAACATTCCTGGTTACTGCGCTTGCTGACCAAGGAAGAGATGGCGGAGCTTCGGATGCTGAGCTCTCACCCAGGTGAGCACAGGAAAA